TTTCTTGGTGTAGTTTTTGCTAGCACAGGCTGTGCCTGTAGTCTAGGGTGTGGAGTGGGCTCTTTAAGCAATGAGGAATTGCAGGGAGACATCCCTTGGAGTGTCAGCCAAGTGTGATCCCATAGGGACCTTCTTGCATTGCCTTTGGTGCTTTTTCATCATCTTTCTTCATGGCAAGTTCAAGTCACAGAGCTGCTACTAAGGCTCAGCCCTTTCCCTGCCACCTCCTGACACCACTAATAAAGCTCTCCCTTTCCTCTAAGTCATTATTAGAACAAACTTCAGCTCTTTTGGAGGGCAAGGAGGGTATGAGTTCACTGCTTCAAGCCTGCAGGGTTGCAGAGAGCCCCAGCCATGTGCTCACTGTGCTCCTCACTGCTGAGGCTTTGTGGAGGCACAGCATTATCATTCCAGACAAGCCTCTCTGGCATGGCCCAGGGGGCAGGGAAGGATGTCTGGGTCATTCTACTAATAAGGAGGCAGCCCCTAATGAGTCCATCTCTGCTCCCCTGCCTCTGCAAGAGGGAAGGAAGAAACCTCAGAGTGCTGTGAAGTCAGGCTTGACTTCACAGCAGAGTTGTCTGCTCTGCAGAGTATCAGGAGTCCCCTGGACAAGGTTTCGTGCCATCATACCTGGCAGGTGGATCCTGACATATTAGGTTTTATAGAAAATGCCACGTTTGCCAGTCCAGGAAGTCTAGGCTGCAAAATGTAACTTGTTCCAGGCTGAAGTAGCATTTGGGGAGTACAAGTATGGATCCAGAGCCAGGAAAGCACTCAGGTTACTGCCATGCAGAGAAGCCTCAGGGGCAGGGTTTGGATAATAAATGGCCAGTGTCTGTGCCAGAGACTCGGATACACAGGAGTGTGGGTCCCTCAGCCTTTCCTCCTGGCAGAAGAACTTACCAGGAACAGACTCTTCTTCCCCAGGGCCACAGCTCCAGAGTGCTGGGACTACAACTGGGTCCCTGCTGATTTCTCTAGTAACAATAGAAATTGATTTACAGAACACTGTTCTTTACATGCCTTTCTGCAAAGAGGGTCCCATAGCAGGAGGGAGCAGCAGGGGACTCCCTGGCTGTGTAATGCTGCTCTGACAGCCTAACCCACCAGCAAAGCATGTTCAGCCCTCACCAGTCCAGATGAAGGATTTCTGCTGGTGTTCCCCATCCCAAGTTCAGGCCAGCCAGCTGCAGCTATGGCAGCCCCACAGGCTGCTTTTTGTGATACAGGTTACATGGAGGATGCCAGGAAGGTGTAGGTAGGAAGGGAATCAGGAGCAGCAGATGCAGAGGGGTCTCCAATCTGCTTGGGCAGCTCCCAGGGCGACACAGTCAGCTCTGTAGCTCTGCATCACTGAGGACATGGTTCAGCTTCTGCTTGGAATGCCACCTGTTACCCTGATTTATTTCTGTGGGATGCACAGGGTACATCTTGCTGACCATCCAATTGTATTGAATCCAGAAGGTCCCAGGCCCACTTTCTATTGATTTCCCTGCTCTCACAGACCAGTCCCCATCTCCTTCAATGTGTCTGTGATGGAAGTTTTATTAATGCAAAATTTTCCCTCTGGAAAATGAAGTCCAGAAATTAATAATGAATTAAAACAACTTGCCACAGGCATTGCTAATGAGCTCTTTGTCTGTGCAGCTCTCATGAAAGGAGGTCATTGCTCAGCCGTTCCCATCGCGAACGGCAAGAAGATTAACCGCGAACATCCAGCGTGCGGGTCTCTCCTGAGACAGCAGGGCGGGCTGCAGCTCAGCTTCTGCCTGGCTGGCTTGTCCTGCCTTATCCCTGCTGTGCAGGTTTTCTCGAGGAGTCTTTACCACCTGGAGAAGACACCTTCCTCCTCTCCAAACACTCAGGTTGCCTGTCTGTGTCGGGAGGACACCCGAGTCATTCCACTGGAAAGGACAATAACCTTGCAGAGCTTAAGGGGAGAGTGGAAAGTAATCTTGGAGGGGACTAGCTGGGCTTAACTTCACTGCCATAAGCCTCTTCAGGGACTCTGGCCCAGAAACTAACCTGGCACCATTCCAGTGCTGGGTCTGCATCTATTGTTCTTTTCCCTTATCTTGCAAGGCAAAGGGTTATCCTGCCTTATCTGCTACCACAGGCTTTGGGGGAGGCCTCACTGCAAGGGTATTGGAAATTGTGGTCCTGCTGAGCCTCAGCGGGCTGTGCTGGGAGAGGAGCACCCACTTCTGGGCAGTCACACCATGCTGACCACCTCTCTTGGCTTTTTCAGCCTGGTCTCACTCAGCAGAAATAAGGAAGCAGCATGTTGCATTTACCCATCCTGGGGTGGGTGGGTAAAAGCTGGTGATTATGGATGCTGCTCCTCTCTTGATAGTTTGGGGTGGATACATCAGTGCGTGGGGCAAGAGACGTTGAGCATCACTTCTCTATGATGTGACTGAAGAGCAGAAGGGACAGAAGGGACTTTCTCCCTTGTCCAGTGTCCCTTGTGGCAGTGTTGTCTGACTGCAGCAGAGGGACCCACACCTTCCTCATGTCCACAGGCAGCCTCTTACACATCAGCTGTTTATTGTTCTGCTTTCTTGCAAAAGCTCAACCTATAATTTCCATGTACTTAACCCAGGCTTGGGAAAATTCTGCTGTGTTTGAGACATGTTTCACCCCTCATTCCCACCCCTGCTCTCTCAGGTGGGACACCCAGCCAGGCTGACTGATGGCTCACTCCCTTGCTTGGCAGCACAATTGCTCGTTTGTCAAATAACTGAGTCACGCAGAGCACTGGGCACCAGGCAGTGACAGCCACGCAGCTCCCAGCCTGCAATACACTCCAGCATGGGGGTGCCTGGATTCACCTCCACCAAGTGTCCCCACCATGGCCTTGGCCATAGAGGAGTCAGTCCTGCCATGCATTCCCACCCCTCCTCTTGTATCCCTGGGCTGGGAAGAAATCCCTCTGTGGTGCAGAGAGAATTTGGGCCACCCAAAAGAGAAAGGAGCAGGGACCCTTGGGCAAGGGCAGGGGAAAAGCAAGGCTTCAAACTGTATATTGACAGCAGGAAACAAACCCTTCTTCCTCTCTCCTTTAAAAGTTTGTGCTTGTTTTTCTGTCACCCAATGCCCCCAGTAACTACCTGCACTGAGCCCGTGTATCTCTGAATTCACCTGGCAGTCTTGCCATCCTCTTCATCACAATATTTGTGTATATCATAAGTGAAACTGTAGCTTGTCCTTAGAATGCTCTGACAAAGAGAGGTTCATCTTGCAGGAGACAGGGATGCTGCAAATGTCCATCCCAGCCAGCACAATGCCAGGAGAGAAGTAGCTGAGGTGCCCCCATAAGCTGGTGTGCTCTTTGCTTGGGTCTTTGATTGGACTCAGGGGGACAGGGGACCTGACCATGGTCCCATGCCTGCTCCATTCATCTCAGAGCACCATTTGGGAGCTTGTTCAGGAGTGAGGCTCAATGCAATCACCAGTGTTGTCATAGCAGAGCCTCCAATAGTTGAGAAGTTTGACTTGGGAATTAAAATTAAGCTGGTTGCATGCTACCTATTTGTTATCTGCCAGGCTGGTCATCCTACACAGCAACCTCTCTCATATTCATTCAGAGGCTGCCTTAAGCCAGGGCTGCATTTAGGCATAGCTATTTTTTCTTTCATTGCTGGCATGACCTAGAAACCCTCCATGCATTGGATGTCCCCATAGGGAGGATAGAAAATGCTGTAATGCTCATATGAATGCCAGGGAAATATACAGAGAAGCAATTTTGTCCCAGCTGAGTCAGATACTGTGATAGTGCTGAGTTTAGGGGCATTTTCAGAGTCTGAGTCTTATTAATCTGCTTGAAAGTTAGGTATAAATCAGAGGGGTTTTTCTACTATAGCTGTGTTTGTGTTTGTAGGACAGAGCAGTTGATTAGGACAGCAGGGTTCTGATGTCCCTGCCACCCGTTTTCTGCACAGCATTATAATTTCACCTCCATTTAACAACAGGTTCATGTCTGGGGTAACTGACTCAGCTGCTTGGCAAACTCATTGGGGCAGTCAAGCCTGCAGACAGTTTTATTTTCACTGAGGTTTGCAGCACAGAGATTTGTAGACCAAATCCTTATAAGTGGTCACCAGGGAATATTGTTGGGATCTCTGACCCCATCTGTGCCAGTGCTGCTGTAACAATTGCAGCTCTGGCATCTGGGACTATTACAAGGCTGCAATATCTGGATCCTTTGTACCCCTGTTTCCTACAAGAGACAGTCAGGACAAGAGCTGTGCTGTTGCCAAGGCTTCAGAAATCTGGTTGGAAGAACCAGAGCCCAGAAGAGCAGATGGAAATTCATAGAATCAGGAGAACACATTAGAGTTAAAAGACAATTAAGGTTTTGCAGAAAAGGCAGTAATGAACCCTTCTCTGTTTCTCTGAGCTTGGCTTTTATTGTCTAACAAAGAGTATTTTGAAAGCGTGTGCTACTTTCCTGTCTTTCCTTCCAAGTGCCTAAATTTGAGGATGTATCCTTATCACTATACGACAAGCAATAGTGAATGGGAAACTATTTTGTTCTGTCATTTACTTCTCATTTGGTCCTGTCACATCCTATCTTTTGGCACTATGTATTTTCTTAGTGTTATGAACGTATATCTGTGCTGTGTGTGAGAGAGTAGGTGTTTGAATTGTGTTTGCAAAGGCCCTTGATAAAAAGCTTTAACAAGTAAAATTATCAGAGAGGCAGAAGTGGGCTGGTCCTGGTAGATCCGAGCACTGGCAGGCAGCAAATCATCTGTCTGCAGAGACATTAAGTGCTGAATAGGTCAGAATTGCCAGGTTTTTAGTATTTACCTACGAGGGAAACTACTGCTCATTTCAAGGAGCTAATGTTCCTTGCAGATTTAGCTTGAACACCAGAGGGAACATAAAAGCAACAGCTGTGGAGTAGTTTCAAGGATAGTGTTTTCCTCCTCAAGCACACTGCAGTTCTATCCAATTCTCCTCATTAATCACTTTCTTTCATTTTTGCTTTTCAGCCAAAGCTTTTGGCCAAGGAGCTGCTTGACTTGGTGGCATCTCATTTCAACCTGAAGGAAAAGGAGTACTTTGGAATTGCATTCACAGATGAAACGTAAGTGTGAGAAATCAAAGACTTAAGAGACAGGTATTGATTACAGAAAATCTTGGTGTAGAAATACTGTGTACACCAAGGTCCTAGACCAAGGTCTAGGGAGGCATGGACCAATTTATCACAAAATTTGAGGTTTTGTCTCAGGACAGGGCATATCTATCCCCAGATTAAATGTCAAGAATAAAATTTGCACCGGAGAAACATTAAAGGTCTGCCAAAGGCTATGATTAGTCCCAGACTGTGACCCTTCAGTGCTACTGCACCACCCTGTTTCATTTTTCCAGCTGTTTTCCCTCAGGAGTTACACCATCCTTGGCATATGGACTGTGTCTTGTATGGACACCCACCTTGGTTTGCAGTAGGTTTCTCTTTGTATGTTAATCAGGAAGAGGTTTCCCACACCTAAATAATTTTTTAAAACCAAGATTTTCAAGCCAACACTGTGTCCCCAGAACAGCTGAGTCAGCGGTATTGCTGTCACGAGCCAGTTCCACTCTCCTGCTGAAGTAGCAGGGAAATGTAAATTATCTGCTGGAATAATGATTCAGGATCGGGTAATCAGAGGCTGCTGGATAATTGCACAAACATCCGCATTCATCTCGGCAGCAATCACCCCTCTAAAGTCAATTCCTTTGGCAAGCACCTGCCTTGGACAGCCTGAGGCCATCTCAGGACACAGCTCCAAGGATGGAGGAATGCTCAGCAGCAGGCATGTGCAGAAGCAGGACCCAAATCAGATGAGATCCCAGAATCCATCCCAGCTCACTGACATGAGTAGCTCAGCCCTGTGGATCTCCAACCCAACACAAATTAATGAGACTAATCCTCCAAGGAGAAACAGTAGGAGGCACTTGCCTTTTACAAAGCAGGAGGAGGAAATTGCTTCTACCACAGTGGTTATTCTTGGAGAAAGCAAGTTACTCAGTGGGTGCTGCCTGAGAGGCACAGGAAAGCCATGCAGGGAAGCCACAGCACACTAGGAGACAAAAAATGTTCCCTTAACAACCCAAGTCCCAGGAGCACAGATGAGAAACAAGGCACATCTCAAACTGTAACCAGAGAGCAGCTGAGCAAGTCCCAGCTCTCAGTTCAGCTGGGTGGGCACAGGGCTCCCCTGGGAGAGCAAGGGAAGCTAATGAGGAGGTGTCAGCAATTAGAGACCCAGCCCCCCCTGAACTTCCAGGTTTAACTGGGTGAGGAAAGATGTGGGTTAGCAAACGGAGGAAGTGTGAGAGCTGGCAGAGCTTGAAGCTACATAGCAGATGCAGATGGATGTGCATGGTCCAGGCAGGATTCAAAGGGTTAGGTGGTGGCATCCACTCACTTGGTCACCTTCAGACCTGTAGATGAAGCAGGGTGCTTTTCAGGAGATGCTCAGCCAGCCCAGATGAAAGATTTGGGGAAAACCTCACTAACTCAAGGAAGTGCAGCCCAGAAACAAGCATTAAGTCCTAGCTGGTCTGAAGCCCTTCTGCTGTCCCATAGAGACTGACATTTGCACTGAGGCTTCCTCAGTGCTGTGAAAATAACCCTGACAAAAATATTTCCTCTTCAGTTGCAAAGTGCTTTGAAGAGAGTTGGCACAAGCAGCAATTGTTTTATTTGACTGAACACAGCCAAAGAATATACCTGGGGCCTTGGGCAGAGTCTTGGAAATAGATGTCCCAACACAGCTTCAGAAAATAAACTGGACTGTCTATACCACAGATCTTAACCTGCAATGTGAAATGGAAGTTTGAAAAATCCCCTTTCTTCAAAAAGTAGTAAAAACAGTCTCTTAATGTTTGTTTGCAGGGCACATAACCCAAATCTTTACCTAATACAGACCAGGAATGTAAAAAGAAACCCTTTAATTCTGTGACACAGGCCCTCAGGGACTTCTTCACTCTCCACTGAGTTTCCATGTGCTTTACTTGAAGGGGACTCATAACCAGCTGAAACAGAACAAGCCTGGTTCATAAATGTAGTCTGAGGTTGGCTAAATGGCAAGTTTAGAAAGAAGAAAAGCCACTGAAGTATTAAATCAATTCTTCTATTTAAGAGTAAAAGCTCTATGAGAGTAATTTATTTAGAAATTATTTAGACTGGGGATTTCCATTCATTAGTTGTGCTCTATCATGACAACCTTAGAAGAAAATCAATAGGAACAACCTTTGCGTTGGCAACTTAATAGTTTCTTGTGATAATATAGGGTCATTACCGCATTCAGCATGACTAAAATTAGATTGTCAGACTATTACGGAGGGGAGAATAACACCTCCTATTTCAGTGATCATAGGAACCTTTTACAGCCTGAGCCATTAACTGCAGGAGAGCACAGGTCAAAAGGGTGTCCCTGTACAGCACCAGGGGCCAAGCTTCACAGGAAGCCAGAAGAGCAATATCCTGCTTGATTAAAAGTGAAAAGGGATGGGGTAAGAGCTTGGGTTTTAAATGTTCAGCTGGTTATGAATCTCCACTAACCACCCTTTCCCTTCAGATCAGCTCCTCCAGCATTCACTAAGAGTAAGTGGCCAGGATTAACCTTCTGTTCACTGCAGACTCCCCAACTGGGCCATGGGCAGGGTTTCCACATCCCTCACTTGTCCTTAGATCTGAGTCACCTGCTCCATTGACAGCTACCAGCATTTACATCCAACAGCTCCTCACCAAGCAGGGTAGCACCCTTCCCTGGAATACCCTTTCATCCCTGGGAGCTGGGGGAAGCCTATTTCCACCCTCCAGCCATGTGGCAGAGCCAGGTGTCCCACATCCTGGTTGAACAGCTGGTCCAACAGAGAGTGCAGCTCAGAGAATAACATCCCACTCTGGCACTAGACCAGTTCCTTTATCACCAAGTCCACTATGTTGCAAAATTTGTAGAGTTAAACTCTTATGACCCCGTGAGCTTCTCAGCCCCTTCAAAAGTAACTGAGAAAATCTGTGAGCTTAAAGGGTTTTTTGTTTCTGTTGCAACTGATCATATATAAATAGTTTATGTGGGTTGTATTATGTGAAATGGTGTTTCTCAATGTCCGTTAAATTCAGAATGAGTCTGACACTGAAAGGTTGTGAGTTGGTTTATTGGCCCAAATACCTTTATAACACAAATGAATGTGGATCCACTTTTCAGAAAACTGGACACTAAGCAGTAAAACTGTATAAACAGAACCACCTGGAGGCAAAATTGATGTGCCACTCTTTACTTATAAAAGAAAACAGAACTACTGCACACAATCAACAAAATGGACCCTGGGCACCAAAATCCATACTCAGTCTGTATCCTAAATGGACCCAGGTTTTTTTCCTTAAAGTGATTATGTGGTTGTTATTGACACATCAGTTTAACTGCCAACATGAGTACAACCAACAGAGGAAAATTATCTGGCTTCCAGTACTTGACCTCCCTATAGGTCCCCCAAAACTGTTTGCACCATTATTTCTGAATACACTGATAGAAATATCTGAATGAACAAATCAATGGTGATAATGAAACAACAGCTACTTTGTGTCTCTAAATTGAACCATGAAGGAAATCCAGCTAGACATGGGCATGTATGAATGGGATCCCAGTGCAAGCTGCCTAAATTGGTCCATGAAAACTGTCAGGATTACTACATGCCTAGGGTTATATTCCCATACTTTTCCCTGTCTTACATGGGATTGTGCTCCATTAATAGTTCTGCTGACAACAGGAAGACAGATTCCAGAGCAAAGCTTTCTGTGGTGCAGTGGCATGGGAGTTTGGCTCCCTGATAGTCCACATTCACAGGCAGATACCAGGGACTGCTCACTGCTGCTGCTCTCTACGTGCCACACATGCACGCTTGAGAACAAGGAGTGAGGTGACAATCTGCAGTGCAGAAGCCCCCAGCGATGAAAGACTGTAAGTAGTAATTGAGTACAGTGAGCAGTTAGCTCCTGGCAGGGATTTAAGTGACCTTCCTCCTCTGAAGGAGCTTTGGATTTAAGCTGCATGCAGATGAGACTAATGAAACTCTTCAACCTAAAAACTCAGTGGCAATTAAATGTGTTATCCAGTGTGGAAGATCAGACAATCCAGTACTCAGAACTGCGTACGTGAGCAACATAAATGTGGAACTGGTATGTATATGTATACATATGATTGTACCAACCTGTTAAAATGCACCGAGAATGAAAAGAGCAAGTCTTTTCAAAACAAGAAATACCTTGAAGTGATTTTTTGTTCTGTGCAGCATGGCTTCTCAGCCTTTCCTTGTGCAAACCCAGACATTGCTGTTGAGTAAACACAGAGGTAGACAGTAAGTCCATTGTCAGCAGCTCGCCCTCAGTGCGATCTGGTGTGTAACACCATCAGCTGCTGGTGGCTGCTGCATTGGTGATACAAATGCAACTGGACAGGTTCAGCATAGGATGTCAGGTTTAGTGGGGCTTTTCCTTGCTCTGACAGCATTTTGTACCGTGGCTACATGGTAAATGCTCAGGTTGTACTTAGGCTAGGAATGGGTGAGCATGGCTAGTTTCAATCCCACATGTAACTGTAGCCTTCACAGCTAATTTCAGCCTTCCTGAGGTCTCTTAAAAGAAACATAACAGCACTCCAAGAAAAAAAAAAAAAAAAAAAAAAAAAAAAAAAGGTAAAATTACAGATTTCAAGAAGGGGGATGCAGCAGGAAAGCTAGATACCTCTAATTTTTTGGGTACCCAGGCTGAGAATCTTTCCATGGGGATTATTATTTGACAGCCTGGAGTATCTGCCTTCTAAAAGCCAAACCTTGTTAAAGTACACATCTGTGCTGAACAACAGGGAATGGTGCATGGATCTCACACTAGCATGCCAACAGCAGAAATGATGGAAGGAAACCCCCTGCATCTTGCTGCATGCCCAGCTATGCATCCTGCCCAGAGCAAGACCAGTCAGTTCCTACATCCAGATGAGTTAATATGGCAATTCCCACCCTGATCCCAGGCTGGGCCGACTTGTGCTCAGCTCCTGTACTGTAATGGAGACAAATTAGGAGACCAGTTTGGCTTGAAAATCTGTATTACAGCACTCCTTTCCAGTAGACACACTGCCAGCAAGTCTGTGCCCCTAATGCACAGCATACGCTGCTCTTTACCTAAAGTGAAAAAATAGAGAAAAAAATTATTTTAAAACTTTATTTAGAGAAAAAGCTGTCTGAAAGTTACAGTATCTTGGAGGGAAACACATGGGTGTCTAGAGCAGGGATAAAATAAGCTTTGTTCTTTTTGTACACCAGAAGATGTCCAGGATGAGTCTGAAAAGTCCCTGACTCCACATGTATCACTTGTACATAGTTGAGACTTGATACTTTTACAAAACAGATGCAAAGGCTGCTTAAACTGAATGCCTGACTTCGACATGGCAAAATTTGAGGAGGGTTTCTTTCTCGCCATATTGATCCTGAGCCCACAAGAGTGATGGGTGGAGCTCAGTAATTTACAACCCCTGGGTTTGGAGCAGCGTGCTGTGCTCAGGTGAGCACACACAATGTCCCAGCAGGGTTCCAGAGCTGCCTGGGCAGGAAGGTCCCTGAGCTGCCCGTCCTCTTCTGCTCCTCCCTAAGCCAGGGCAGCAGTACAGAAATTCTGACTGAAGCCACGTGATTCAAAGCCCCCTGAAGGTGCTACTTTCCCCTTTATTTATTTTTCTGGGAAAGATGGAGTGGGGGGGCTGTAAATTCAGTTAAATTGCTACAGGGATGTCATTGCTTACTTTCTGAAAGGGCTTCTCTGTTGCCCAAAGCTCATGCACATGAAAACCCTTGTGAAACCTGAGTGTTTTTGCTGTATACAGGATACATTGCTAATGCTTGTGGCAATCCTAGAAGGTAATTTAATGCTGGGATTTTGTTTTTTTTTTTTTAAATCAGGCTGTTTTTTTCCTTTTTTTCATTTTCAGTGGAATGAAGAATTATTCTTGAGGATTATCATGAGCTGGTGAATAGGCACTGGAATAAAGCTCAGGACATCTGAGTTCCATTTCCTGCTTTATTTGCTGCAAGATTCTCCCCCAAATCATTTCAACTCTCTCTCCCCTTGCTTGTCTAGACAGCAGAGTACTGAAGGCAAGGGCTGCCTCTCCCTCTGGGTGAAATCTGGTCTGACTGAAATCAACAGCCAAAAGCTCACAGGATGCAACCCTAGCATCACTGAAGGCAATGGCAAAAGTCTGGCCAGCTTCAGTGGGGCCTGAATGTCACCCTAGGTATTTCCACAGTGCCTAATTTAACAGGGCCTTTATCTCAGCTGGGGAGCGAGATGAAGGCCCTGTAATACAAATAATGGTATATTTAAGGTACCTCTCATGCACACACAGCACTCTACAATGTGGGGAACGTGACAAAGAACAGAGCTCCTGCCCAGCAAAGCTTCCAGCAGCAAGGCAGGAATGGATAAATTATAGGAGAAAATAACGACAGGTACCATCTAGGCAAAAGAAAAGCAGCATGGGGTAATTGTAGCTGGAACGCTTCATGGAGCAGCTGTTTTTCAAGAGCTCTCTGAAGAGGGAAAAAGGAGGGCTGGGCAAACCTAGAAAGGCTATTGCAGGCATGTGGGTGGTAAATAAACTGTCTGAGACTGTAGAGTCAGGTTTAGCCTTGAGTGAAATACTGCAGGCATCGTGGAAACTCTTAACCATAAGGATTTCTAATGAAAATCTTGACAGACTTTTAAGGATACAACTGCTCCAGGGGCCTGTAATAAAAAGGTGAAGCTTATAACATTTTGGGCTGTCCTGATTGCTCAGTGCTGCCAGCTTTCACCCTGACAGATTGAACTTTAGCAGTTCGATTCCCAGACTGAAACAATGCCAGGATGATATCGCCTCTGCTCCTCAAACATTTATTGTGTGTTTTTCAAATATCATTCAATAGTCCAGGGCAAATAGCACACATTTTGGTTCACATTTCATAACACCTCAGACCTCATTGCTGTGAGGAGTGAGAATTCTCTTTGGTGCCAAGCTCAAAACTGTCTCTTCTCTTGCCAGGGGACACTTGAACTGGCTTCAGCTGGACCGCCGGGTGCTGGAACATGACTTCCCCAAAAAGTCAGGACCGGTTGTTTTGTACTTTTGTGTCAGGTAAGTGCCTGATGGCAAGCCCTTCCCATGGGATACAGCTACAGACAGCCTGTTTCCTGGAGGCCAGGAAGTGAGGCTGTCAGTTTCTCAGAAACACCTGTGGGCAAACACTTCCACAGAGGTTTCTTTTGAGCTCTTTGGCTTTGCAAACTCTTCTCACTCAAATGTAAACAAGTAGTAGCCACACCGACACCCACAGCTGTCCACAGGGAAATGCTGTATGAGGGCAAGATCAGATGTTATGTATTTACACTTCTGCTTGTGGGCTTTGAGCTGGAAAGTCCAAGCTGAGTAGGGTGGCAGAACAAAGCCCTCTTTCTGCCAGGATAACCCACTTGAGCCAGCAACCTGCAGGGAAAACACTCACTTCCTCACTGGTGAACCATCAGTCTCCTCTGGATCGTGTCCACAGTGTGCATTCTGTCAGAGACCGAATTAATCCCTGTACAGATCTGTCATATTCACCTTCTGAACTCAGTGCTACAGTGAATTACCCACAAATAGCAAATGATGGCATTTTATGGCAGCCAGTTGGTTTCTGCATGGCTGGACCAGACTATAAAAGTTTTAATGAAGATTATGGCAGTTTGGGAGCTTCAAACTTCATCTGGGATTTTTACAAGGAACTGTTAACGTTTGGAAGCTGCTGGAAGCTGCCAGTGCTTTTATGCACACAGTGCCTTTGCCTCCAAGGGAGATATTTTCTGAGAAGACAAATTTGCTCCTGCAGCTTTGAAATGCCCAGAGAGAGGCCAGGGGCTGGGATGGCATATGTACAAAATTAAGTTGAGGGTTTTGACTTACTTTTAATGGATAGCTCATGTCTAGAACAAGCCAGTGCAGCGTAACTGTGTCTTTTTCTGTTAGGCTTTCCACTCCAGTGTTATATTACATCTGACATCACTCTCATTCATTCCATAGTACCCACAAAAAATGAAGACCTACTTTTGAGTTTCTTCCCCTGAGTGAAGCTTTTTTTCCCTCCACATAGTGATTGTCATTCATTTAACTTCCATTACAAGGCAGGCTTTTCAGGAGAAAAGATTCTCTGTTCTATTTAGTGGTGGGTAGATCTTAGGACAAATCAAGACTGCACAAAGCCCTGTAAGTCCAGAATTAGCCTGATATCTTCCAAGAGAAGAATTTAGTCCATATTTTGGGTGCTTCAAACCATAAGGGTAGATCTAGAGCCGAGCACCTTCAGCATGTGAGATCCAGATCCACCTGTGCTTAGAGCTACACAAAAATGTTGATGCTCAATAAAAACATGGCCAGTCAGTTACCAGATATCTTATCCAGGGGCCAAACTGGGGAGTCTGTGCTAAGACAGGGATCCCGTGGAAAGCAGGGAAGGCCCTGAGTGAGCAAGAGCTAAGTGCTGGGCTTAGGAGTAGAACTGTAAAATGTGTGAAAGCCTGTGCTACTGAGCCACTCTCATATTCATTTCAAAGACCACTCAACAAGCATAAATATTGCCATCTGTATTGTTTTATGAAAGTTGGCAGCACAGTGGAGACCAGTCATTCTAGCGGGATCCCAGCCAAGAGGCATCCTAGGATACAAATCCATCTAACAGCTAGTGAGTGAGTGACCCCTCCTGTTCTGGAATCTCAATCCATAGGGAACAACTCAGCATTCAGTGCCTGCATGTGTGAAAACCAGACTGACTCTGGGCTTATACTCTTACTGATGGCAGTAATGGGTGGGTCGTCACACTGAGTTACAGTTTGGATTGGACTGGGAGCCAGATGCCTCAAGAGTTAGAAAAGGACATTAACTTACTGTGCTTTTTCTACTGCTTATTTCCCTTGTGGATGTTGAAGCTGGCAGAAGTTGAAAACCCAGCACATAAGGAGTTCCCATGTCCATCCCTAAATCTGATCTGAGCAGAAGGCAATTGAAGACACTGACTCCAGCCAGATGGTTTAAGATAGAAAGGCCCCACATATCTGTTACTCAGTGGTTTCAGTTCTGGCTTGGGAACTAAAGCAAGGGCTCAAGGAAAGTTCTAAAGAGAACCACCAATAGACAGGGATTTATTTTCACAATCTGGGGGTGTGCAGCAGCTTGCAGAGCCATTCATAAACATACCATAAACAGAATGCTCCCTCTCCCCTGCTGCCATCAGGCAGAAAGCAGAGATAATTAGTGCTGTACTATACCTAATCACAAATGTGTTGATTTGTAAGAAACTTCACGTCCATGACACCTACTATGTCACAGGTAAAGGCTTTCCTGTGGTTGCAGATGCCTTTTTGCATTACCTCTCCCAAGCAACTGACAAAGCTTAGGTTGATGCTGGGGATCCTAAATGGGGAGATACAAGTAATACAAGTTACTGGATGTGTCAGATGCTCATGACACAGAATGCTGTTTATTGCATCGGGATTTAGTAATTGTGGGGGTTTTTCCCTCTAGTTGAAGTAAATGTACAGTTCAATCACACTGCATAACTACTGAAGAGATGAAGCCTCAGGCAAGAAAAGTAAAGGGTAGTTTGTGAAGAGGAGAAGCTACAGTGAAAACATTTTCACCTTTAATGTGACCATCAAATGGTTTTTACCCTCAACATTCCTGCAATGTTGAAGGGCAGCATGCCCACCAAAGATGCTGCAGATTTTAGCCTGCTCTAAAAGTGCATTTAAAGGAAAGCCTGCCTTCTTAAGAAAAGGCTTCTTGAAAGAACCGTGCCAAAAATAGGAAGTTTCACAAGCTTTGCAGTGTGAAATTCTCCTCCCTTTTTTTAAATCTCTGCAGCACTGTTAAGCTTTGTCTTTTGACATTTCCTTGGGGTTTGACATTGTTGAACACTGATCTCCAGTGTCTTTCCTCTCTTCCATTATCAAAGACCAAAAATTTCACAGCACTGTGTCAAAGGAGGGGGATTTTAGAAGGATGTTTTTAGCATTGGTTTGTAAGAATTTGCTTCTTCCATTGTTCATTTACACAGCTACTGAAGCCTCCCTGTCTTCAGGTTGTCATCTAGTCCTTCAATGAAAGCTTTCCACTGAGAACAGCATAGGAATCTAGGAAGCAATCAGAACTCTTGGGCAGCTGTGAACTGCCCCATGGCTATTGTGCACTATTGTTTTATAAGACTCTTCTAATATCTGTTTACATAGCTCTAAAGACACACATGAAAGCAAGAGGGAGTGCCATGTGTCTTGCAGGGGAGGAGGGATGTTGGGCAACAGAATGGGAGTGATATTGCTTCTCACCTTAGAATTAGCTTCCCTGGATGGCTTCCTGTAGCCCTGGTTGCTTGGTTGTTGGTGAGGCTAATTCCCTGCCTTAAAGGGTTTACAAGCCAGATGAGAGTCACCACTGAAGTCCAGGAGGAGCAAAGGATGGGGATGAAGAAATGAGGGTTTGCCTCATTTTACAGAGGCATTTTGAGGCCAGAAGAGAACAGAGAGAATGTACCTCACACCCCAGTCTTGGGGTAAAGTGCAGGAACCTAAGTACACTGTGGAGACCTGGGCAGCAAAGGAGGTAAATTGCAGGGTTCAGGTACTTTCCTTTTGGCTGGGAAGGAAAGCATTTTGCTCAGTCTCATACAGACAGAAAGAAGGCAGAATTACTCCTTTTGTGTAAAGCTTTGATGTGAGAGAGAACAAGAGCACCGACATGGTGTTTGTTCATGGAAAGCAAAGTTAGCCAGGCTCTGCAGTGAGTTCTCATCCTCAAACAATGGCTATGTGAGATTAGCAATCCTTAGCAAAGGAACCACCAGCATGGGTCTGACCTCTTTATCTTCTGTATGTTTGTCATGCTGTTAATTTATATGAACAAGCTTAGCAAATAAAATTCACTCCACTGGTGTATCTTTTCCCAGGAATGAATATGTTTGTTCTCAGGGCAACTCTACCAGCTAAACAGTGACAACTCACTGCAGAAGTCGTCACACTAAATCAGAATATGTCTCACATGGAAAGGCTTTTCTTTCAGGAAGGCATTGAACAAAATGTGAAATAAACCCTCAATACTCAAATACACTGTGGGGCAGAGTTTGTATCTATGGGCTGGCAGTATTCCTACAAAAGAATGCCTGTGTTCAGCAACATCTGGCATGTGTTCATATGTACTTGCTGGGCTGAAGTCAGCATGAGAGCTGTGGGGGCTCAGGACTCTCAATATTGAGGCCAGACATTTTGCCAGGTTACCACAGTTACTACAGAACAAAGTGACCCTAAATAAGAGACTGGCAATGAAACACAGAGTGCAAAGCTCTTGGGTGTCTGTGCCCCCTTAACCTGAAGGAACATAGCTCTGTGTGCACTGGCAGTGGTCCATGTCTGAGGCAGGTGGGGCAGGTGGGCAGTCTGAGATGAGAATCACCACACCAGAGCTGAGATCTTTACCTGGCAGACAGCTCTATGTCACAGCTAATTAGTGCAGCCTCCCTATATAACCACTGGAAAGAAATAGTCACCTTTCAGGAGTAATTAATCTGACTTATTTCATCTGACTCATCCAAAGATGACTGCTTTGGAATTCAACAAGTTGCAGGCTTAAAAAACTGTGTCTCTTCTCTGACCTCAGAGCCCTGTTCAGATGTAGGGATATTCACTTGGTGCATCCCTCTGTCCTATCAAGTCTATAAATTTAAAATTATTATTTCCAGCAGGCTGGCACAGCCAGGGTTGAGGAAGCGTTTCCTATCTACATGGTTTCAGCTGGCTATCTAAATGGAACTGGACCAGACTTCAGCTGTTAATGAGGCCTTATGCTATTTTAGTCTTTCAGCCCTTCTTTGTAGGCATCTTTAAACCTGTATTCCATTAGAAAAAGACTAATGCTAACGCTGAAAGAAGCAAGAGGCCATTTGAAAACAGCTGACCTGGGAAGGGAGACAGTTGTTCTTCATAGGGTTAGCTGGACCTTAGAACTTGTCACTGAAATGCATTTCTGCCTCACTCATGGGCCAGACACACTTATGGGGTGCAGATTCAGAGCATCCTGCTCCCAACTTCCCCAGCTGACTAACGTGGGATCCCAGC